GTGCCAAAATGACCTCTTGTCGTTTAGAAGTGTGTTTGTCGCTGTGCTACTGTGCGGTGTTAGGCAAAACACAAACACTTACTTTATTATGCAAACTGTGTCAGTGACGGATGCTGCCGGTACAGCAGGACATGTTTACCCTTTTCGCGAACACCTGGAGTCATCATTCACTATCAGTGATCCATTAATATAACAATCACCTCTATTTTGCTGGAATGGAATCTGTTTCGGCTGATAATCAAGACTGGTTATTTTCTGGCGTTGACGTTATATATTTGGGTAAATATAGGACCTACAACATTAAGTCATCCAATTTCGTTTGTGTCGGACTTTGTTTGTCATGTCTTTGATATTCTTATGGAAGAAAGTTCTGGTACATTATTTAATGTTTAAGACATCCTTTGGGACTGAAATATATGTGTCAATTATTTAAACGTAACCATCAATGTATATATGGTACAGGGAATATGTCAAATCAAGGAATGGATACAATCCCTGAAATCTTCAGTAAATAGATGTTAATGTCTGATTCACGCAGGAAATCATCTTCCAGGGGCAAGGGAGTTAACTGACTGTAAAAGTCCTGTTTCCACCCTTGCCGAATTAGGCTGCAATTTTGGGCTGGACTAACGAGTCCATGCATAGTCCAATCAAAATCGCGTAACGAAATCGACATCCGGTCCGTAAGCAACATGGATTTCAACGTGCAGTTTCCACCCTTGCCGAACTGGAATTTTTGGGCTCGTTTGTTGGGCCACCAGAGGCTTTTACCAGTTATGTCCCTTTTATGCCCCTCCTATTGACCAATCAGATTTCCACCTCTCATATCACTTTCATTTGCTTCAAACAAAATGGCGGCGCCAAGTCAAGACGATCTGATCGATGATCAAGATGTATATTATAATAAAACGGGTCTTACCTCGCGATGTGCATCAAATCATGTGAGCACCTTGATTAAAAACACAAAACGATTTGGAAAATATCTGTCGACGCCCAGATGATGGTACACATCCTTTGCCAATCCTGCAGTCGACCGAAGATGATACTGTTGTACCGTCCTCATGTGTTGAAGCCAATAAATCCCATGCTGCTTAGCACCAAGCATGGGCTGCACCCTAGTCCTTTGCCTGTCCCAGTGTGACTAGAACCTCTATCTGCCCCAGTGCGACTAGAATCTCTGTCTGTCCCTGTGGGACAAGAACCTTTATCTGCCGCAGAGCGACTAGAAACTATATCTGCCCCAATGCGACTTGACCCTCCATGTGCCCCAATGGGACTAGAATATCTGTCTGTCCCTGTGGAACGAGAACTTTTATCTCCCCCAGCGCGACTAGAAAATCTATCTGCCCCAGTGCGACTAGAATCTATGTCTGTTCCTGTAAGACAAGAACCTGTATCTGCCGCACAGCGATTAGAACCTCTCTCTGCCGCAGTGCGACTAGAATATCGGTCTGTTCCTGTGGGACAAGAACCTTTATCTGCCGCAGAGCGACTAGAACCTATATCTACCCCAATGCGAGTTGACCCTCCATGTGCCCCAATGGGTCTAGAATATCTGTCTGTCCCTGTGGAACGAGAACTTTTATCTGCCCCAGCGCGACTTGAACCTCTATCTGCCCCAGAAGGAGTAGTTCAATCCATGTGCCCCAAAACAACTAGAACATCTGTCTGTCCCAGTGTGACTAGAACCTCTATCTGTCGCCTGTGGAATATATCATTTATCTGCCTCAGTGAATCTGTCCCTGTGTGACTAGAACCTCTATCTGTCGCCTGTGGAATATATCATTTATCTGCCTCGGTGGGACAAGAACCTGAATCTGTCCCTGTGTGACTAGAACCTCTATCTGCCCCTGTGGAATATATCATTTATCTGCCTCGGTGGGACAAGAACCTGAATCTGTCCCTGTGTGACTAGAACCTCTATCTGTCGCCTGTGGAATATATCATTTATCTGCCTCAGTGGGACAAGAACCTGAATCTGTCCCTGTGTGACTGGAACCTCTATCGTCCCCTGTGGATCTAGTACCTATTTCGTCCCCTGTGGATCTAGAACCTCTATCGTCGCATGTATGACTAAACCCCAGGATGCGAGAGAGCGTGACAGAGACACCAGCCTCATCTTAATAATATGTCATGGCGCTTGATAGAATATCATTCCCAATCACGACAAGATTCGTAGTTTCAATTATGAATTTCAAATGCAGAGTTACGTCCCATAATAGTTCCAGGATCCCCTAATCGTAGGTTTTAATCCTTGGCTGATCGGCAAGTGGTCGTGGATTTCGGCAAAATGGAATACGTCTAAAACCTGAATCACTAAAAGCTTTCCTTTCCCATTATGCTTGACACGCCGTTGTATAAATGAAATATGCACTCAATATAGAAGTCAATTTAGTACAGGGTGAGTGAGTGAGTTTTTAACAGCGCTTCGAGCAGTATTTCAGATGAGTCAACTCCAGCCAAGTCAACCCGTACGTGTTACTGTTGTCTCGAGAAAAGAGCTACCTTGCTGAATACATATACAGTTAACTACGGTTATAACGAACACGCTTATAACGAACTGACTGATATAACGAACTTACTTTTTGGTCCCGACTACTTGCTGTAGACATGCTGTATATGTACCTATAACGAACTACGGTTATAACGAACTAAAATTACTAGTCCCTTTGAGTTCGTTATAACCGTAGTTTACTGTACTTACATTTGAGTCTGATATGTCTGTGACAATTGTCTGATATCGCCATGACAAATCTAAAACATATTTATTCAAATACATGATTAATATCACACAAAGATTAAAACCATGCCTCAGGCCATACATTGCATCAGAAGGTCATTGATGATCCAAGTATATCTAACTTCACCTTCGTCAGGACAATGATGAACCAATGTTTTCTGGAAAGATGTTCTGTATGCATGGAGAAGCTTAGTAGACAAAAAGGAAATTCTATCAAAGAGGAAAAAGATATATTATCAAAAGCTTTATCGCAAAATACGAATATAAGAATAGGGAACACTCCTGTTCATTACAACGGTAAGTAGGGAAAAGATATTAATCTTATAAATGATCTGATAGACAAGAATGGGAATTTTCTAGATCTTTCAGACCTAAAACAGATATACGACGATATATCCCTAACATTCAAGTTACATCTGCTCTTAATACCATATTTCCTTGAAAACTTGGTAGAGAGGGGGGTGTAAAATGTTTGTGATATATTAAATACGGTACCGTGCAATTTTGATATCCCAAAAATACATTCAAAGATGGGAACATGACGGGAAAAGATTGGCAAATGATTAATCGTCGCTCCCACAGATATAACGTGTCCTCAAAACAAAAATGGTTCCAATACAGTCTTATATTATTATAAGATAATCATTTCTTTGCCATTTTTGTAAACGAGAAAAACAAATATTAATGCACATGTTCTTTGATTGTGAAATTGTAAAACATGTCTGGAACAGCCTTGCAAAACTGGAAAAGAACTAGAATTTTCAAATTGACATTTTTATTAGGATATCCAGAAAAAGAAAATGGGGTTTTTAAGCATATCATAACTGTAACAAAGCAAAACATATTCAAACCAAACATTTCCGTCTCCCTACCAAATTTCAAAAACATCAAAGAAGAAATAACGAACTGATATTACATCGACAGATATACATCATATTCACAATGGAAACACACATTTCCTAACATTTTGGTCACTCTGTTACCATGTATTCGAGTGAACCAACGAACTTACACAATTCCAACAAAGATGTCTTTCCAACAATCAGACAAACAGACAAACCAGCTCGGGTGTCAGATCATTCCCCCACCCAGAGATCCTTGCGGCCAGCCTTGTACCTTTGCCACAGGCCAGCGACATATGACGATTCATCACATCTTGCACAGTCCATTCACGATATTGCATATGTTTTTCATCTGTTTGATTTTTGACGAGTTTACACATTTACATACATACGTCATAGAATGGATAATTTTCATTGAGAAAATATCCTGAAACGTGAAAATCTATTTCCATTTGCATATATATAATATATTTGTATTGGTTGTACGGCTCCACGTTCTGTCATTAAAAGCCCTCCAGAGAGCAAGCCATACCCCCACAGTTGTGTCGCAGTTGTTGTAGTATATCTGTATAATTATGCATAATGATATGCATAACAACACAGAAGAATATGGAACTAAATCCGTTTCACCTGAAGCGTTAATTAGACGGGTTAAACTTTGCTTTGAACAATATTCCAATTGTAACTTATTAATATGAACGGAGATCCCAAAGTGGTACCCCATTTTGCGTTAACGAAATCCCGAAGCCCCATATCAATACTATTTAAAGAATGAGGGAGTGAGTTGGGGTTAACACCGTTTTGGACAGAGCTGTGAGAGGAAAGCCGCGATTTAAAAAAACACATCATTGAACCTCATGAACAAAAACTATAGACGCATGCAATAGAAACCTAGTATATGCGCCCTTGTTTTTAAAAAGAATGATCAATGTTCATTTTTTTCTAAACAATGTCCAACCATGATCATACATCCTCATGTGGCGCGGCCATCCTGTAAGTAGGTCGAGGGAAATGGCCAACTGCCGTAATGTGTTACATGCTGCAGGCGATGAAATAAGAGTACACATGTCGATGTTATCCAACATAACCAATGGAAGGTCGTGTTGCAATCCAGCTGAGTCAACAATTTTTCAACTACGTTTGTTGAATTAATAAAGATTGGGCAAGTCCATTCAAAAACCGATGGGGATACAGTCATTGTAATTATGCGATTGTTTCCATCATAAACATTTAAACACTATGATCGGTTTCAGAAAAAGACATTTCACCTTTGAATTAGTAACAAGAAAAGAATGTAGCAAGAAAATTGTGTTAAAAATTTGCTAATTCGACTAATGCTTTCTTACTTGATGTTTCACCTCTTCCCTTCTTCGGAAAATGGTTTAGTTTCAGTTTGGGCTCAAATATTACTGTTGGCTATAAAATAAGATCTTTGTGGGGGAAGCATCACTCTGTTCCTTGCACGAGTCGCTATGGGAGTTGTTCAGCTTTTCCTCGTCGCATTGGTGGTAAGTTCATGACTTGTTCTCATTTTTAAAATGAGTATTGTAATTAAGTCCCAAATGCTATTCAACTGTACATTTTTGATATCACAATGGGGAATTATTCTTTGGGTGGAGTACAACATGTTAAAATTGCATCAGGGTAAGAGGCGACTAACGGGCTCGGGTGGTCAGGCTTGCTGACTTGGTTGATGCATGTCATCGGCGCGGATCCCAATTGGCTGGATCGATGCTCATGATGTCAATCACTGGGTTGGCTGGTCAAGACTCGATTCTTTTTTTACATAACGCCAACATATAGCTCGAATATTGCTGAATGAGGCGTTAAACCCAACTCACTCACTCACTCACTCACTCACTTAAATGAACAATATCTACAAGCAAAATATGGGCACGTTTCATATGCTTCCAAAAATCTACAAACAGGCTATTCATAGACAGGACATTTAGTCTAGAAGTAGGCATCCCATCGGCACCAATTGTGCTCCCGTCCATGCTAATCTGTTTCTGTTTCGGTACGCATGAGAATTTCTGCTCGCATTGGCAAAATCCAAACAAGGGAATTTGTCATGACTAAAATGTTATAGTTAAGATACAGCGATGATATGATAGCGTTCAACAATGATCAAATAGCCAAGTCACTTTCACACTTGTACCCACCTGAGCTAGCAATAGAAAGGGACAAGTAAAACCGCCTCATCATTGTTAGATCTGGGGGTACGGGTGGCCCAGTCATCTAAGTTACGCCCATTGGGCAGCCACACACAGATGATTTGTGGTTCAAATCCGGGTATGCACTGATTATGTTTCTAGTTTTGTCAGCACCACACCCGTGCTTGTAAGTTTCACCAAAGTCGTAACCGTCTGAGACGTGCTTCACTTCGGGCTTTCCTCTCACATTAAGCCGTGATATAAATGGATAACCTCGGCGTTAAACCAAAATCACCCATTCATCATATTTAGATTAATGTATAAAGATTCCCAGTGACAAAATACTATATATAATACAGGTGTATGGCTTTAACTTTCCAATATTCAAGTGTCCCTTCATGTCAAGCAATGGAGCAGCAGCATTTAATTTTGAACATTTAATTGACTTGTCTTTGTATGTGTTTGTGACGGGTGCCATCGGTGTGCAGGATAGGGTGTTCGTGAACATCCGGGATTATCACTATTTTAAAGTGATTCATAAACACATGCTTAGGATATAGTCGGAATCGTACAACGGACTCTGCTTCTAGCATTGAATTCTTATGATAATAACGGGGCGGTCGGGTAGTCCAGTGCTTAAAGCGTTTGCTCGTAACGCCGAAAACCCGGGTTCGAATCCCGACATGGGTACAATGTGTGAAGCCCATTTCTGATGTCCCCCGCCGTGACATTGCTGGAATATTGCTAAAAGATGCGTAAAACCAAACTCACAGTATTTAAGTTCTACCACGGCGTGTCAGCTTAATGTGGGAGGAAAGCCCGAAGTGATGCAGGTCTCAGACGTTTACCACTTCGGTGAAACCCACGAGCACGGGTATGGTGCTGACAAACCCAGAAAAATAAACCCAACGAACCGGGATTCGAACCCACAATCATAGGTTTCTGGCGTGCCCAAGGGACGCAACTCTGCACAGCGAATTGCGGCGCCTTAGACGACTGGGCCACCCGTGCCCCCATAATAACTATGAACAGGGCCTTGTCGCTTACATCTACATTATCAATGAGAAAGTAAATAAATATCCCCACCAACAACCGTTTCTTTTCATATTTGAGCATAAAAGTTGGTATGTGAAAATTGGTTGGTTTTACTATTGTTTTAGTTACTATTTATTGATGATTGTGTACTATTGACGGACATATTCATCTGTTGTGAAGCAGTGTCAATACAACATCAGTCCTGAAGTTGGGAACGTCTCAGGTATCATCAGGGGTTGTCGGGTAGCCTAGTGGTTAAAGCGTTCGCTCGTCTCGCCGAAGACCCGGGTTCGATTCCCGACATGGGTACAATGTGTGAAGCCCATTTCTGGTGTCCCCCGCCGTGATATTGCTGGAATATTGCTAAAAGCGGCGTAAAACCAAACTCACTCACTCACTCATGTATCATCCTGCTTTTCCGATCGTTATTAGAGCTTCATATACTAGTATTTCCTTTTGTGAATTTGACATTTTTACTTGTATTTGTATTTTTTGTTTCTACAGGCGTTGGCAGGAGCAGGTAAGTTTACTTTTTGTCATTTGAGATGTTCATACGCTGTGTTGGGGCGGATGGGTAGTCCCGTGGTTAAAATGTTGTCACGTCAGTGTTCGATTCCCTACTTGGAAAAAAGCTCTGAAATAGTGTTAAACGCAGCGTAGGTAATTAATAACCGTATTCACTCCCTTTTTATATATTATTTAACCTGAATCAAATAAATTCGTGCCCGATATGATTAGCAAGGATTCAGCCTAGCCGGGATCGATCACACAAACACGCATTGTCATTGTAGCCAACCGTTAAACGTTTTAGCCTGCTCTAACTGCAGGTTTTAGGGTACTTATGGGATCCTGTACGCTTGATCAAACATAATATATATATATATAATAAAATATTCAAAGTTTGATGGTCACTATTTCAAAGAATAATGTTTGTGTCGCTTTGTCTTACATTACTTATCACGGTACAGTAAACATGATACAGTTAGGTAATAAACCTTCTGCGCTTTGAAATTTGATGTAGTTTAACTTCAGATTAGATACTTCTTATTTTGATTTGAAACCGAGCGCTTCAGCTGAACGTAATCAACCGTTACTTTTGACGGTCGATGGCTGCCACAATAGATGTTTACGGAGACTGTGCTATTGACAGAGGACGACCCCATTCTGTAATTATGTTTACCATAGCGTGATGATTTACTGGTGAAAATGAACTTGCCGACAACGGAATCACCCTGAATTATGACTGAATACCGTCGTGTTTAGCTGCAGACGGCAATATTTGTTTGTTTGTTTGTTGTTTTACGCCGTCACCCAGCACAATTCCGGCTATATGACGGCAGTCTAAAAAATAATCGAGTCTGAACTAGACAATCCAGTGATTGACCTCATAAGCATTCATACACCCAATTGGGATACGTTGACATGCATCAACCAAGTCAGTGAGGCTGACCACCCGATCCCGTTAGTCGCCTCTTACGGCAACCATGGGTTGCTGAAGACCTATTCTAACCCGGATCTTCACAGGTCACGGACCGTATTGTACGGCGGAACGGGAGACTGGTCATGTTCGTGACTGATGATTGCATGACCCTGATACAGTAGCGAGAGGGCGTTTAACAAAACCAGTAAATGCACTCTCGTGTCACTGGATCGTCTTGGACATCGATCACTTGATTGTCTGGTTTGTTTACAGGCCGTCGCATAGCAAGAGGGCAGCTGTGCGGCGTCAGACAACAAATACTTAGTTTTCTTATGCAAATTATGTGACATGCGTACCCTTTTCGTGAAGACCTGGTGTCCACTACATAATTTTCACCGCTATTTTGCCTTTTACGCCCAATGGAATCTATTTTGGCGGACAATCGAGACTGCTTGTTCTCTGTCTTATCATCAATATAGAGGAAAAAACATTTGAATTACTAAATCAAATACCCTTTACAATTCCTAAATTGGTTTTACTTCCCTCCGTTCAATATTCAACAACATGCGACCTAGCTGTTTCCTCCATAGTGAACGGGTAGTCAGATCAAGACAGCTGTTGCTTTAAATTACACCTAACACCAGTATCCATTTATCACAACTAGATATAAGATTGATTTTCTTTGTTTTGGAAGTATTAAAAATACCCTCTGCATATATTCAAGATACTACTGAAGTTGTTTCAATGGTTGTTATTTTATATAATGTGTTAATATTCTGATTTTATTATTCAACAGAATGATAAGAATAACTCGGAATAACTATTTCTAGGTCATTGGTCATAATACGTGTATGGTAATTAGTAATACTATACCTAATACTATAACTACAGAGTTACATATATTCCATTTAGTTTGTAAATAAAATAATATTTACTTTAATAAAGTAGCCACTGCACAATAGGGACGAAGAGACCTTGTAGAGAGAGGAGATTTAAATGTGATTGTGTTTTCTTCTATTGAGACCGGTTGTATTGCTAGTAGCATCTCCCCATGACGTACCAGCAAACGAGGAAGAGAAAAAGGGAGAGCCGCAAATGGTTTCGATTTGGGAAAATTTTGTGTCACGTGGACATGTATATACTTCAATGGTAAGATATGTTACTTCTTAATTGCATTTATCTGTGGTTAATGCATCTTGAGGAGTCAGAAACATTCCCTCATACATACTTTTTATTGTTTCGGGTGAGTGTTATTCAGACATTTGTGGCTAAACATGGAAATATATTTACTTCTGAAAGTACTTTTTTAATTGCCTTTGTCTGTCTTATCTGCAATCATTCTGTGGATACAAAGATGTTCTTATTAGCTAGTGTTAGCATTGTTCGTTAATGTATATTGTGACAACTTTGAAGTCATACAAATAAGCATAAATGTAATTGAACATTGAGAAGTGCTAGCAAAGAAATACCTTTACTGCTGATTGCAACCACATTAACACCTTATTATTGAAAACGTTTCCTGCTGAACAAATTCTTCTTTTCAGATCGCTTTTCTATTGGAACTGATGACTCAAAGATGTCCATTTCGAGCATCTCAACCATGTCTCATACCTGCATCTGCTTATTGAAATTTATTATTATTATTATTATTATTATTATTATTATTATTATTATTATTATTTTGAACTAAACTACCTCTTTGACGTACGTCCTAACTTTGCAAAGAGACTATGAACTCAAATACATAATGGAGTATGGCAAACATGCTTCCACAATAATATTGGATGATAATGATCCTAACGCTACGGCTAGCAAACCCTATGGGAAAGTATATACCTTAGTCTACTGACTGATGCTGTTCTTTTAACCATCAGCAAGACCAACGTCGTCGAGCTACAAGGACACGCAATCGGTTAAGTCACACATTGTGTTGAATTAGCCACACGATCCTAATGTGTTGGATTTATGGAAAATGTGGGTCAGAGGGTAACCGCACTGTCATGACATCTTCACAGAGTGTGAAATGAAGTTTTTCTCTAGAAAAAGTTATACAATTCTGTAAAGAATTAATTTTGCAAAAGCATCACCGTAGGAAGTCAAGAGATGAGCAATGTCAACAAACAACAAGTAATCAAACTTTGTGAGGATTTCTGAAGATGGTGTGATAGCGTGAGGTGAGATGAAATGGGGTCGCGTCCAAGATTATTGCACTTACATAGCGACGTGCATACGTGTGTGTGTGTCTGCTTATACTAGTCAGGACTGATGCCGATTTAAAGTGCTAGCCCACTGAGATACCATGCCGCAGTTTAACATGAATACCCCACTCAGACACAGTATACTGACTCCGAGCCGACCATTCCTTGTTTTAGCCCCTTAATGCCAATAGCCAGACAGGGAAACAACAAGTACCATCTTTTAACGGCTTTTGGTATGGATCGAACCCCGGACCTTCCGTTCTGCGGGTGGACGCTATACCACCAGACTACGGGGGTGATCTGGTGTGACAGCATGCTCACACTTATCATTTAGAGACCAAGCGATAACCCCCCAACAAGGTGTGCACGAGATGGTTTCACAGCATCCCAAGAATAAGCACTCACTGGTTGTGATGACAATGCAGAAGCATTGATGGAAGGATTGTGAAGACCTTATCGAGATGGTAAAATCAGAGATGCATTTTGTTTTGTAAGACATTTTGAAAGCATTTTTAAACCATTTTCTTTGTAAGAGGGTGTCACAGAAGAAACTTCCGATTGTAAGGACGAAGACACCAAAGCGGACCCCCCTTCCTTTGCTGGCGCTAATGATGCCCTGCAAACACTGAAAGACTTTTTTAGCAGCAAGAGAGCGACAGATCTCCAGTGGTTTAATTTGCTGGCGGCTCTGAATACGACAGTAGGACGGATGCAAACAGCCAAACAGCGAAAAACGAAAACAGCCAAACGAGGACAAACTATAATCACAGACTTCGTTGTACTACGTACGTAAATTGAATGCTTGAAAAGGTTATGATTGCCATCAAAATAAATTTATTAAACCTTTGAAACTTGACTTGGTTTGTTTGTTTTTAACCCTCAATTTTGCATAGTAATCCAAAAATGACGGACATATTTTTGTGAGCCGTTAGCCAATTTCAACAGTGCCTTAGGATTCATCATCACCAGGTAATACTGTGGCGTTAACCCCAGCTGTCTCATTCATTCTTTCCCTTAGAGGCGCACAGGTGGCCAAGTCGTTTTAGTTGGTGCAGTTCGCTGCACAGAGTTGCGGTCCATAGTCGGACCAGAATCCGATGTTTATTGGTTCGAAACCATGGTTCGCCTTGATTGTGAATCTTGGTCTCTTAGCACCTTACTCTTACTCATGGGTTTCTAAGACCTGCATAGCTTTGCTCTCAATTAAGACGACTCTGATATAACTGAAATACTGTTCGCATCGGCGTTAAACCACATTCATCCCGCTCTCTATTTGCAGAGAACGTTATAAGGAAGGACGCCAGTCACCTCACGGCGGACGAAATCCAGGCTCTCCATGGTGCTCTCCATGCCGTCGTTAATGCATCAGGGCCATTTGGCTTCAGGGAAATATCAGCGTACCATGCCTCGCCCCCATCGTGTGACCACAACGGACGGAAGATAGCCTGTTGTGTCCACGGTATGCCCACCTTCCCCTTCTGGCACAGGGCTTACGTTGTCCAGGCGGAGCGAGCACTTCTAGCCCAACGGAAGACTGTGGGGATGCCTTACTGGGATTGGACGGAGACGCTCACTCAACTTCCAGCTCTTGTGACTGAACCCATCTTCATTGACAGTCTTGGTGGAAAGGTAAATACACAGGTCGTCTATTCTATACGAAAGAGGGGGCGGTGGGGTAGCCTAGTGGTTAAAGCGTTCGCTTATCACGCCGAAGACCCGGGTTCGATTCCCGACATGGGTACAATGTGTGAAGCCAATTTCTGGTTTTCCCCGCCGTGATATTGCTAGAATATTGCTAAAAGCGGCGTAAAACCATACTCACTATACAAAAGAAACGAACTAGTCTGTAGAAAGATCTTTAGGTGTATACCATTCGGTGTATAAAAAAATCACAAACTGAAGATGAATATGTTCTCTATGTATTTGTTAATGTGTTAATGCAGCTATATATATTATCAATATATCCATGATGTACAGGGCCGCACTTTCAAAGGTTTAATGTCATCCTTATCACGTGAACTGATAAAGAACAGCATTGACCGTATTTTAAGGAATCATTGTACTATTAATTTAATTGTGTATGTGAACCGGAGGCGCTGTACGCAATATAACATTCTGTCGTAAGACTATCCCAGTAACCATACATATTAGAAACCCGTGAATATCAGGACTAGAATAGTTCTTCAACAACTCATGCTTGTCGTTAAAAGGCGACTGAAGTGACCGGGTTGTCAAGCTGCATGTCGTCATATCCCATTTGAGTAGCTGAGTGCGCCGTTAAACTTTATTGACGCTGATTGTATTTTGATATTAAAGTGCCGAAGTCCGCTGTTCAGAACTGCATCACGTATCCGTGCCTGGATCCGCTTGTAGCGGTTCCAATTTGCATCGATTATGAACCTTGGACACTCGACATCTTGGACACTCGTTTCCTGTACGTTTCACTAAATTCGTAAACGTCCATGAGATGCGTCTTTAAGGATTCTCCGTTGTCATATGATTGAAATATTATGCAAAGCGACGTTAAAACCCGCCTTTTAGATCACCGTTTTCTACCTATCTCCTTTTATAAACCAACAATATCGTATGAAATTAATATGTCTCTCATACCAACAGACTCAACCCAATTACTGGCACCGAGGCGAAATAGCGTTTGCCAACAAGGCGACTGCGAGAGCTGTAGATGATCGCCTTTTCGAGAAGGTGGAGACCGGCCACTACACAAAACTTATGGAGTCTGTCCTAGATGCTCTGGAACAGGACGAATTCTGTAAATTCGAAATCCAGTTTGAGCTTGCTCATAATGCTATCCACTACTTGGTGGGCGGGAAATATGAGTATGTTTGATTTAATTCTCTCTTCTCTTGACAGATGTATCAATTTTCATTTTGGAGCAGGTTCAAGATCAATATTTGTTTCAACTCACCTGACTAATGGTTTGGTAATATCATATTTTCATAAAATGTGTTTATCGTCATTGTATTTCGGTGGCAACAGTCAAAACCTGCGCGTTCGGTTCCAAATTCAATTTAGCGCGGTTAGTTTGTTTATATCCTTATTGTATTTCGGTGGCTACAGTCAAAACCTGGTGTCAATTTACAGATACTCAATGTCCAACCTGGACTACACCGCCTACGACCCTATCTTCTTCCTCCATCATTCCAACGTCGACCGTATCTTCGCAATATGGCAGCGTCTTCAGGAGCTAAGGGGAAAGAACCCCAACGCAATAGACTGTGCACATGAGCTGGCTCACCAGGAACTTGAACCTTTCAACAGAGCCACCAATCCAGTACCCATCACCAAGCAACATTCGAGACCCGTTGACCTCTTTGATTACCACCAGCTTGGATACAGGTGAGAATTCATTACTTTTCAATTTAGATAAGGGTTCAAGGTAAATATATTTAATATATATATTTAGGCTAAGAGTTTTAATTTAAAAAATGTAATTTTAAGAATTGTCTGATACACAACCTGTACCCTCTATTATTCATGAACCTTGTATTTGATATAAAATACCCAATACAAAATTATGATCGTGCCACCCACTTCAGTTAATGTCTGTATCCTTTTTTTTGTCAGTTACGATAGCTTAAACCTGAATGGAATGACACCAGAAGAGTTGAAAATAAAGCTAGATGAACGCCACTCCAAGGAAAGAGCATTTGCAAGCTTCAGACTCAAGGGTTTTGGAGGATCTGCAAACGTTGTTGTATATGCATGTCTCCCAGATAGTGATCCACGCAGTGATGATCACTGCGAGAAGGCAGGAGACTTCTTCGTTCTTGGAGGCTCAACCGAAATGCCCTGGATATTCTACAGACCTTACTTCTTTGATGTAACTAAGGCGGTACAACGGCTTGGCGTGGTGCTAAGTGGGCACTACTATGTGAAAACAGAACTCTTCAGTGTGAATGGCACATCTCTCTCCCCTGATATTCTACCTCAACCAACTGTTGCCTACCGACCTGGGAAAGGTCACATTGACCGTGAGTTGATGTAATCTTTTATGTCATGTGTGTCTTGAGCAAGAGTTTCTATTATTGTTTAATAACAACATACGTTTTACATATCGTTACAACTAGTATTATTCTTTTTCAATGCATCAAAACAGGATTATACATACACTGAAAAAAAGAAGAAATGCTCAAAAAATGCCCATCCATATCAGTATGGTCACAAGTCTGAGATATGTCATCATTCTGCTGTAAGAATCTACCCATTGAAAGGTGGCGCGGGTGGCCCAATCGCCTAAGGCGCCGCGATTCGCTATGCAGAGTTGCGTCCCTTGGGCACACCAGAAGCTATGATTGTGGTTTCTAATCCCGGTTCGCCCCGATTATGATTCTAGGTTTGTCAGCACCATACCCGTGCTCTTTGGTTTCACCGAAGTTGTAAACGTCTGAGACCTGCATCACTTCGGGCTTTCTTCACACAATAAGCTGACACGCCGCGATATAACTGGAATACTGTTAATAGCGGCGTTAAACCCATCTCACTCACTCACTCAGTATACAATGACAACAAAGGAATAGTCCTTTCTAACGAAACAAATTAGGCCTTTGGCAGAGGTAGGCACGATAGGTGAAGTTTCAACGAGTTCAAGCTCAGTCAGTTTTCATCTCTGCACTGGTACACAGCAGACATAGTTTACAATAAACATCGTTTTTAATTTCAACAAACGGTAAGAGGTCTATCGACTGACCGTATTTCCGGTCCATAACTTGATTGACTGTTTTATAACATGCCGCCGAGTACTGTTTGTAGGAGTCAGGCAATGATTACACACCTTTTTTATGCAAATAATGTGAGTGACGGGTGCTATCAGTGCACCTGGGCCCACTTGCACAATGCGATCTTAGCGCTAAGATGATCGTAACTCCCATACTTTAGCATAGGCTTACAATAGTCTTAGCGCTAAGGTCGCTTTGTGCAAGTGGGCCCAGGTGTCATCACTGACATTTGTCACTCAACCATATGTGATCACCTTTTCACAGATTGTTAAATTAAAGTACTGTATCTCATCTTATTGTTTACCTTGAACTTTGTTAATAATCGTTAAATTAAAACCTCAAATGACAAAATGTTATTTCAGTAAGACTACTGCCTTTATTGTGATGGACCTTTCAGACCCTTACAATCTCGTTTGACCTGTGAAGATCCGGGTTGGATTGGTCTTCAGCAACCCATGCCTATCATGAGACTATGTTTGGTTTAGAGGCGATCGGGTGGTCAAGCTCGCTGACTTCGTCGATGCATGTCATTGTATCCCAATTGCGTGGATCGATGCTCATGATATCAGTCACTGGATTGTCTTGTCCAAACTCGGTTATTTATATAACACCGTCATAATATTGCCGAGTGAGGCTTTAAACAACAAATAAACACTTACATCTTGGTCTTCATAATACATCATATACGTAAAGGAAATACCTAAAAACTAACTTTAAATACTACCCGAAACCATTAGTAGATAGATTTCTCTTGAAAAGAAAAGGAATTGCCTGCCGGAAAAACAACAATGTTGCAATGTGTTTTATTAGGCTCATGGTCTTAAATAAAACCAGGTCTGCTTTTATAGGTCATACAAAATCCAAGCCAGTCAGTCACACACGCGCACGCGCACGCACGCACGCACGCACGCACACTTTCAAATGGGTGGTCCCAGAAGTTGAATGAGTGATTTATGAAGTAATAGAATATTTGTTTAACATTAGAACAAGGTAATCATAAAAATAGTAAATAGTTTAATGACATTATAACGTCTACATATAAAGATGTCAAACAGTATTCTAAATGCCAAGATTAAACAGAAGTCACTTGCTTTTGACGAAAGTTATTTTACTATAAATTTGAGTATTATAAAAACATGCAAAATGGGAAACGTCTTGGTCCTTCTTGTTGAACACCCTTTTTCTGAATGGACATAACTTAATTTCATCTATTCATTAAATAAAACCAGAAGTAATATGCCTTTTGTAATCAATTTGGGACCAATACAATTACTAAATGCATCATTTAAAATTACAGAGTAGAAACGATTTTAACTATAATAATTAGGAATGATAAATTCATTTTTAGGGCAAATAGATTGGCCAGTGAGTGTTAAGGTTCATCAATGTACAGAAGATGTTGAATATCTGGGAATATAATCTTAGTGAAAGCCTTTGGCTCTGTCGAGGCGAATTTCATTTTTTACTTTAGACAGCAGTATTTTACACCACGGACGGGGTGTTTGTCAAACACTTGGTGAACATAGATCTTTAATACCTTCAAATGTTCAGATCTAGAAAGTAAATGTCATCTGAAGTTTACTGGGGAAACGGTATGTGAAATGCTGGACTTCCTCAAGATTACCTGCTATGTTTGGGGATGCGGCATTCAGACACCAGGTAGGCATCCCAATGGGGACAAGTGTTCCCGACCTTGCTGTTCTGATATTTTCTACCTTTGTGAATTGGATTTGCAAAATCAAAATATGGGAATTTGGCAAAGGGGTTTAACTTAAGTTTCAGGTCTATGAATGATCAGATAGTTCAACAAATACCATATCTCTTGTACCGATTAACACACCTGAAATAAAACAGCTTCATCTGTTTCATATTTATATCCACATAAAACAATCTACCCACAAGACAGTTTGACAAGAGGGGCGATTTCAACTGTCCCTTTATTTCTAGCAATATTCCAGCAGCTCCAACCTTTTTTGGTTACATTTCATTACTTTCAAGGTAAAACCCAGTATGCTTCTTCCACGCCGATTTCAAAGAATGTCATTCAAACTTTTCAACAGTTATGTGACATACATTTCCAAATTTGATACATCAATAACCAAAATGATGTCCGATACATTTCGAAATTAATTTTGTGATTTGTACCATCGATGTTTGTCCAGTTAAACACTTTACTTGCCTTTTCCTGTGTTTTGGACAGGTGCCAAGTATGGGGCAGTATACACTATCATTTTCGCGAACACGTGTTATTATCACTATTTTAAACACATGCTTATGATATAGTAGCAATCCTACAATAGACTCTGCCTTTAGTAGAGAATTATTCTTATGATTATAGAGTTTTATCGTTTTTAATTATGGAAAGGGTTCGGTAACTTATATATATGATTAGGTTTTTTTTCTAAATTTTTCAATTTGCACACAACGCATTTCTTATTCTAGATGGAATGAAACTTCTTCAAACTCACTTACAATATACGCCCAGACGAATATATTTTTTTTAATTAATTCTCTGGTAACTGATGAGAGTGCATCATACCTGAAATATGACAAAGGTTACACATATCTTTGCATGTATATCATGTTATAAATGAAGTGTTGACATGAAGGTATCTCTGTTTATTGATGAGTACACCTAATCAATATTTCGATTTGTTTCGATTTCAGCACCAGTACATCATCGTCAAAATGAAGATTACATCGTTAGGAAGAATATTAATCATCTGACTCGTTCTGAGACTTACGAATTGAGGAAGGCTATGGAGAGATTCCAGGCGGACACATCTGTTGATGGATTCCAGGCTACAGTCGAGTACCATGGCCTTCCTGCTCGTTGTCCGGAACCCGATGCAAAAGTCAGGTTCGCCTGTTGTATGCATGGTATGGCATCCTTCCCACACTGGCACAGGCTGTTTGTTACCCAGGTAGAAGATGCTCTTGTAAGACGTGGATCTCCTATTGGTGTTCCTTACTGGGATTGGACTAAACCTATGACTCATCTACCAGACTTAGCAGCCAGTGAAAACTACGTAGACCCAAATGGACACACACGTCATAATCCATTCTTCAATGCAAATATATCTTTTGAGGAGGGGCACCATCACACAAGCAGGTCAATAGATGCAAGACTGTTTGCGCCCGCAGCTTATGGGGACCATACTGCTCTTTTTGATGGAATCCTGTATGCCTTTGAGCAGGAAGATTTCTGCGACTTTGAGATCCAGTTTGAGCTCGTCCATAACTCAATTCATGCTTGGATAGGCGGCTCCGAAGATTATTCCATGTCGACTCTTCATTACACAGCCTTTGATCCCATTTTCTATCTTCACCATTCCAATGTCGATCGTCTCTGGGCAATTTGGCAAGCCTTACAGATCAGGAGACAGAAACCATATCGAGCCCACTGTGCACAGTCCATAGAACAGTTGCCTATGAAGCCATTTGCTTTCCCATCCCCTCTTAACAACAACGAGAAGACACATAGTAATTCTGTGCCCACTGATATTTATGACTACGAGGAAACTCTGCATTACAGTTATGATGACCTTACCTTTGGTGGGATGAATCTTGACGAAATTGAAGATACTATACATCACAGACAACAGCATGAACGAGTCTTTGCAGGATTTTTACTTGGAGGAATAGGAAAATCGGCACTTGTAAATATCTTCATAAACAAACCAGGGTCTAGCCCTCACAAAGCTGGAGATATTGCAATTCTTGGTGGTACCAAGGAAATGCCTTGGGCATTTGACCGATTGTTTAAGGTCGAAATAACTGATGCATTGAAAGCACTCGCACTTGATGTTGACGGAGATTATGAAGTTACTTTTGATATTCATGACATGCATGGAAACAAACTTTCTTCAGACCTCATTCCACATCCAGCAGTTATATCTGAGCCAGCTCATCGTAAGTAAATTGACAAGGCATTTTTTTTCTCTCTTCAGATCATGTGAAAATTATATTCATTCGCTTGTACATGGCAGTACACATGAAATAATACTCCGTTATGAATTCATGAATGTACCAACATGGTTCCAAATAAGCGAGTGAAAACCAGATTTCAGGCAGTAGATGTTTTGTAATGATTTTACGTGTAATATATAATTGTTCACGTAATACCGACTTTACTGTTGAAGTAATGAGTTATTCCGTCATGTTGTCTCTGCATTCTCCCCCACTCAGCTTACGACAATGGAGACAGTGCTATTCTTTAATACAACTAATTTCAAAGTGTGGGAAAATACATTCATTGGGGTAACATATTGACTTTGCCAAACTGTAACCACAAAATAGTCATCTGCAATCGTTGGATTGTCAGATCCAGATTCGATTATTTACAGATAACTATTTTATGTCTGTTTTATTTTTGGGGCGATGGGGTAGCAAAGTGGTTAAAGCGTTCGCTCGTCATTCCCTACGTAGGTGCAATGAGTGACTATTTCTGGAGTGCCCCGCCGTGACGTTGCTGGAATATTGCCGAAATGGGCGTAAGAGCAAATCCACTCAATTTCTCATTGTAATATTTATGAATGCAGCGTTAAACAGCACACAAAACTAACTATAAAATCTTTTCTTCTTTTAGCTACGTTTGAGGATGTATCAACCAGCTTACGTATTAGAAAGAATGCTGACTACTTAACTCCTGAAGAGACAAATGACCTGCGTCATGCCCTGGACCTTCTTGAAAAAGATCCGTCTCCAGGAGGATTCAATCAGCTTGGCGCCTTCCATGGAGAGCCTAAATGGTGCCCTCATCCTGAAGCTTATCACAAGGTTGCCTGCTGTGTCCACGGCATGGCTGTTTTTCCACATTGGCACAGGCTTCTTGCTCTCCAAGCAGAAAATGCTCTAAGAAGGCATGGCTACAGTGGGGCGTTACCATACTGGGATTGGACCCGTCCAATAAACAAACTTCCAGATCTGGTTACTCCTGAGACCTATACTGATCCTTCTGACAATCAAGATAAGCATAATCCGTGGTACAACGGTCATATTGAGACAGTAGATCAATATACTACCAGAAACGTACGTGAGGATCTTTATCAACAACCTGAATTTGGACATTTTACTGATATTGCTCAGCAAGTTCTCTTAGCTTTGGAGCAAGATGACTTCTGTTCTTTTGAAGTACAGTATGAAATTTCTCATAATTTTATCCATGCGCTTGTAGGAGGAACAACCCCATATGGAATGGCATCACTGAGATATACAGCATACGATCCAATATTTTTCTTGCACCATTCAAATACAGACAGGATCTGGGCTATATGGCAAGCCCTGCAAAAATACAGAGGCAAACCATATAACACTGCCAACTGTGCCATTGCATCTATGAGGAAACCTCTACAACCATTTGGACTGAGTAGTGACGTAAACCCTGACATCATCACCAGAGAGCATGCAATACCGTTTGATGTTTTCGACTATAAGGATAATTTTCATTACAAATATGATACCTTGGAATTTAATGGTCTGTCCATTTCACAACTTAACCGGGAGCTTGACAGAATCAAGAGTCACGACAGAGTATTTGCCGGATTCTTGCTGTCGGGAATTAAAAAATCTGTCCTTGTCAAATTTAATGTCTGTGCACCACCTCATGACTGCCATCCCGCAGGAGAGTTTTATCTGCTTGGGGACGAAAACGAGATGGCTTGGGCCTATGACCGAGTTTTCAAGTATGATATTACTAATGTATTGGATGAGAACAATCTACACTTTTATGATCACATCTTCATTTCCTATGAAGTCTTTGATCTGCATGGAACGAGCTTAGGAACTGACATTTTCCACAAAGCAAATGTGATACATGATTCTGGTACAGGTATGTGTATTTGATCTGCATCTATATTTGAAGTAGTGCTGACATCAATAATGCAAACCTATAGTCATTTGTTATGTGTACTTTCCCACAAATTTTATATCCAGCAAATGCTTTGTACTGGTACCAGTAAATTCTGTGTTATCATTTCCCAAATGACCCTTTTATGATTAATGTACTTCTTTAGACTCATTGTTGTGATTCATATGATTGCTATTATATACGTTTTCTGTTCGTTATTTTCAAGCCCAAGATAAGTGCATAAACGTATTGTCACTTTCCTAGAACTATTATATTGAAAGAAATGTTAATTTATATGTTGGATTTTGTGTAGGAATAAATATTATGCTTTGGAATTAAATGTTTAGTTGTGAGAAAAGAGATTTTCATCTGTCACCTGTTTTCGAGCCCCTAAAAAATATTTTCAAATGGTTGATTTGGTTTGAAGATCTTCATGTTAGGCATTTAAAAAATGTAATGTCACCTAAAAATAACCAGTCTAGTAAAACAGTCTCAACAAAACTTTGAACGTCAAACAAATATTTGAATTTATATTCAAAGTACACGTTTCTTTTTCAATAGTTTTTTAAAATTAGTATTTTTCTATTTGCAAAATACTTATTTTTTAAAGTTCACTTTTTTACATATTTCGTAACAGAGAGGTTTTGTAAATATGGATATTTGGTCATATAATATGGTGGGGCTTTTTAGAACTGTATACATTTTTATATTGCTCCTAACATAAACAATATAATATCTCAATACAATTTAATGTCTAATTTTCGTTACAACGTTTTTGAATCTTGACCTTACCCTTAACGCAAAAGGGAAAAGTAATTTATATATTTAGTCCCACTTTTATAAATGATCGTTGCTTTTACAGATCCAAAATAAAACATTGGAAAGTTCCTTCTAAGCCATCAGTAATGTCTCTTCTTGTGTAAGAATATAAGCAATATATTCCATATATACCAAGGGAAAACGAGGGGAGCTTGAAAATAAGTTGTGGGTGCTTCATGTGGCTTTTTTGTTGGAAATGGGGTGATATTATTTAGTTTGATTAGTATTTCTTGTATATATAAATGAAAAAATCAATTTAGGAACCAAGGATACTGCTTTTGAAGCTACTTTATTTTCATGTCGGATATTGAAATATTCTATGTGATGCGTTTTCTTATATTTTTACTATTAACAGTCTCATAATATATATTTCATTGTGACGTGACACAGACAAAACAAAGTGTACTATATATGAGGTCTCAATGTTCTATCCACAGGCTCCCGAGAACATGACAAGTATGTTGAGGAAGTAACTGGTGCCAGCCATATCAGGAAGAACTTGAATGACCTTAACCTTGGAGAAATGGAAAGCCTTAGAGCAGCTTTCTTGCACATTCAGAATGATGGAACATATGAATCTATTGCCCAGTACCATGGTAAACCAGGCAAATGTGAACTGAATCATCATAGTATTGCCTGCTGTGTTCATGGTATGCCTACCTTTCCCCAGTGGCACAGACTATATGTGGCCCAGGTTGAGAATGCACTCCTTAAGATGGGATCGAGTGTAGCTGTCCCTTACTGGGAGTGGACTGCTCCAATAGAACATCTTCCTGGTTTGATTGATGATGCTACATACTTTAATTCCCGTCAACAAAGATACGATCCTAATCCTTTCTTCCGGGGAAAGATTAGTTTTGAAAATGCAGTAACAACAAGGGACCCACAAGAAGAGCTCTTCAACTCAGAGTACATGCATAACAATGTTTTGCTTGCACTAGAGCAGGACGATTATTGTGACTTTGAAATTCAGTTTGAGCTTGTTCATAATGCACTTCATTCCCTGTTGGGAGGAAAAGGTCAGTACTCTATGTCCTCTCTCGACTATTCTGCATTTGATCCTGTCTTCTTCCTCCACCATGCAAACACGGACAGATTATGGGCAATCTGGCAGGAACTACAACGATACAGAGGACTTCCTTATGAAGAGGCCAATTGTGCAATTAACCTTATGCATCAACCACTGATGCCATTCAGTGATCCACATGAGAATCACGACAATGTCACTCTCAAACACTCAAAACCACAGGACTGCTTCGACTATAGGAACAACTTTGGATACAAGTATGACAACCTTGAGTTCCACCATTTATCTATTCCAAGTCTTGACGCTACTCTGAAGGCAAGAAAAGAGCATGATAGAGTATTTGCTGGCTTCCTTCTCCATAACATAGGGACTTCTGCTGACATATCTATCTACATATGTCAGCCTGATGGAAGTGGTGGTAATGATTGTAGTCATAAAGCTGGAACATTCTATGTCCTTGGCGGCGAAACAGAGATGCCATTTGTTTTTGACCGTTTGTATAAATTTGAAATCACTGAAGCACTGCACAAACTCGGAGTCAAGTTGCATGGTGGTCTTTTCGATCTGGAGCTTGACATCGTAGCATACAACGGTTCACATCTGGATTCTCATATCTTTGATCCAACCATCATCTTTGAACCTGGGATAGGTAATTTTATGTCAACTTCACTGTCACTGTCAAAAGTTACTTCAAAACATATTTATACAAAACCTGTGTCTTTCACCTTGTATTGATTTCGGTGATCGTTTATGCTAATGCTAACATATTTTTCATTTGGTACATCTCACAGACTTTTTTAATTGTGTCATAATACATTGGTCATATTATGTGATAAATTAACAGGACACCTTGACTGGCAGTGAAGGCTATGGATAAAAACGTCTTTATTGTTTTCAAAGACTTTTCAGGGCTAATTCTTGTCCCTACAACAAGTGAATACTGAGGGAACATAATCAGTTAACTAATGTAACCATTCAACAATCAAGTGTCAATTTGCGGATGATTAGTAATAGCACAATAGAGTACTTGCTGGGTAGGTAGGTGACTTTGTCTTTGTTAATAGAAGCGGTATAATGGTGATTTTGTATTTGCAGATACCCACGTCTTGGACCATGACAATACCGAAGAGATACTTGTCAGGAAGAATATCAACGATTTGAGTCCCAGGGAAAGGGTTTCCCTTGTCAAAGCTTTGAAGGGAATGCAGAATGATCGTTCTGCTGATGGTTTCCAAGCTATTGCTTCTTTCCATGCCCTGCCACCACTATGTCCTAATCCGTCTGCCGCACACCGTTTTGCTTGCTGTGTCCATGGCATGGCCACATTCCCCCAGTGGCACAGACTTTACACTGTACAGGTCCAGGATGCACTGAGAAGACATGGTTCTCTTGTTGGTATTCCTTATTGGGATTGGACAAAGCCAGTATCTGAGTTACCCGAATTTCTTTCTGCCGAGACATTTCATGATCCAATTCACGATTTAAATGTTTCAAATCCATTCTTCAAGGCTGATATAGAATTTGAAGGCGACGGCGTTCATACTGAGAGAGACATACAATCAGATTTCCTGTTCCATAGTGGAGATCATGAAGGATACCATAACTGGTTCTTTGAGACTGTTCTCTTTGCTTTGGAACAGGAAGACTACTGTGATTTTGAAATACAGTTTGAGATAGCCCATAATGGTATCCACACATGGATTGGTGGAAGCGCAAAATATGGCATGGGACACCTTCACTATGCATCATATGATCCAATTTTCTATATCCACCATTCACAGACGGATAGGATATGGGCTATTTGGCAAGAACTGCAGAAATACAGGGGTCTATCTGGTTCAGAAGCAAATTGTGCCATTGAACTCATGAGAACACCTCTAAAGCCTTTCAGCTTTGGGCCACCTTACAACTTGAATTCTCATACACAAGAGTTTTCAAAACCTGAGGACACTTTTGACTATAAGAAGTTTGGATACAGATATGATAATCTGGAATTGGAGGGAAGGTCAGTTGCTCATATTGATGAACTTATCCAGGAAAGGCAGGAGCACGACAGAACCTTTGCTGGGTTTCTTCTTAAAGGTTTTGGTACCTCTGCCACTGTGACACTCAAGGTTTGCAGAGATGACCACACCTGTCAAAATGCTGGATATTTCACTGTTTTGGGAGGATCAGCCGAAATGCCTTGGGCATTCGACAGACTCTACAAGTATGACATAACTAAAACTCTTGATCATATGAATCTAAGGCACGAGGACACCTTCTACATAAATGGAACTGTCACTGCTTACGACGGAACAGTACTCCCAGGAGACCTCATCCCACCAGCATCCATCATATTTGTACCTGGACGCCGTAAGTAATTGTTTACACTTAGTCTTCTTTGAGTGAGAATATCAATTAATAAGAGTTGCAGTTTAATTAATGTGTCAGAATTACCCAAAACTGAACACTAAAAACAGCTATACATGTAGTTTACGTTTTCTACAGCAAGCGGAAAATGCCTACATGTTTCATGAAAATAATCTCTCAATATTTTCTACCAACAGATCATCTAAATTCACGGAAACATGCACCTAACAAGATCCGTCATGAACTCAGTAGCCTTAGTTCCCGTGATGTAGCGAGTTTGAAGGCTGCTTTGACTAGTCTTCAGAAGGATGATGGACCGGATGGTTATCAAGCCATCGCTGCATTCCATGGCCTTCCTGCACAGTGTCACGATACATCTGGACATCAGGTAAATCTATACAACCATATGAAGTGTGTTAGGAGCCAGGATACCAGGATAGTTGCATTTATTACCCAGTACTGGCTCGTATGAGAACTCTCGAGGATTTACGTTAAAGTATAAGTTGTGAGGGTAGGATGAAATGGTAACTATAACCAAAGTGACTCTAGCTTCTACGGCGTGGGGACAATGTGTGAAGCACATTTATCTGGTGTCCCCCGCCCTGATATTGCTTGAAAATTGCTAAAAGCGGCGTAAAACCATACTCACTCACTCACTAGCGTCTACTTAAAACATCCTTTTAATGGTATGTTTACTCATAAACATTGCAGCGAATTTTATTCGGAATGCTGAACTCTTTGATTATAGAACATTTGAATGAATGCAAGGCATGGTAACCTTTACAGAAATCCTTGGACTCCTTGGACGGTTTACTGCAAGAGAGGATATTTCAATCAACTGTTTTCAGTTTATACACATATCAATACACTTTTTAGAGAATGATTTCATAAAAACATCGTACAGTTAAATGAAATAGACACAGGAGATTCAGTGGAAGTTGTATATGTTCTGGCGCTTTGATGCACTAAATAATCTAAAAGATTAACGTTGTTATCTAATTACTCATGGCTTTTAATATCCACTACATCAATATTCGCCTGAAGCCTCGGAGCTTTTTACTTTAATCGACTTATGTATATGTATTGGATATAAAGAATCTCACCCGAGTGACATTTATATCAAATATATATCAACAAAAGTGGTTAAAAGTGGAAAAACTCCGAGGCTTGCCGATTTGATCTCAAACGTTACTGTTTATCATCCAACATCATTCTTTGAACTTTTTCAGTGTGTAGACAGTAATAAGCAGTGTCTTAAGTGTACTGCTAACAGCTTCAGTAGCAGAGTAGTTAGTGATTTCATTTGATTGTGACGTCATGGTAACAATGGGAGCCAGTTTTGGATGATAAAAAAACTCTCTATAAAAGTTTCTCCAATAATAATGGATTTATGAAAAGGTCATCCCTCGTCAATTGGTCACTTGGCTGCAAATGATACAGAGATTTGTTGTAACTGCTAGTTTAGGATTCGAATCTGAGTTTATTATTCAAAATAGACAACGAAAATCAATATCATTACTTCATGTTGCAGATCGCTTGTTGCATCCATGGTATGGCGACATTCCCCCACTGGCACAGGTTGTACACTCTCCAGCTGGAACAGGCCTTGGCCAAACATGGTTCAAGTGTCGCTGTGCCTTACTGGGATTGGACCAGACCAATTACTGAACTGCCACACATTCTGACAGACGGGGAATATTACGACTTTTGGCAAGATGCTGTCATGCCCAATCCATTTTCTAGAGGTCATGTTAATTTTGAAAATACATTCACAGTGAGAAATGTCCAGGAAGCTCTTTTCAAATTGTCCCCCATTGGAAAACACTCGGTTCTGTTTGACCAGGCCTTGCTGGCTCTTGAACAAACCGACTACTGTGACTTCGAGGTTCAGTTTGAAGTGATGCATAACACCATCCATTATCTTATTGGAGGACGTCAAACGTATGCTTTCTCCTCTCTTCATTATGCATCCTATGATCCAGTCTTCTTTATACATCACTCATTTGTTGACAAAATATGGGCTATTTGGCAAGAATTGCAAAGCAGGAGACATCTACAATTTAATGGAGCAGATTGTGCTGTGTCGCTCATGAGTAAAGCAATGAGACCTTTCAACAAGGACTTCAACCACAATCCATTCACCAAGAGGCATGCAGTTCCAAATACGTTATTTGACTATGAAGATCTTGGCTATAACTATGACAACCTTGAAATCAGTGGTTTGAACCTGAAAGAAATCGAGGCGTTAATAGCAAAACGTAAGTCCCATGCCAGAGTCTTTGCTGGCTTTCTGTTGTTTGGAATAGGAACGTCAGCTGATGTCCACCTAGACATATGCAAGACATCTGAGGACTGCCATCATGCTGGTGTTCTTTTCATCCTTGGGGGCTCTGCGGAGATGCATTGGGCATACAACCGACTCTACAAGTATGACATAACGGAAGCATTGCATGAATTTGGTATCAACCCTGAAGATGTCTTCCATGCTGATGAAGCATTTTTCCTGAAGGTTTCGGTGGTAGCTGTGAATGGCACCGTCCTTCCACCGTCACTTCTTCATGAGCCAACAATACTTTATGAACCAGGCGTAGGTAAGATATCTAAAATATGAGCTTTTATGCCAAGACAGTTTGTCTTCCTTACATACAGGTTCGCTTGTAAATACTACAAATGAAAAATGGGGGGGGGGGGGGGGGACAAAGAATGTGATGTTATTTTATGGTATGTAACTGAGTGAGATACTAAATCAACCTAACATGAAAGGATATGCTTCATTTTATAAGTGTGTCTCATCACGTTTTCTGGACTTATCATGTATCATCTGTAAAACCAAAATATATTAGTCATTGCCTTTTACGCCTAATTGAATCTGTTTTGGAGACAGATTATTTTCTAGCGTTATGTCTATTACAAACGTAAAACATGGGATAAAAATGTATTCATTGGTAGAATATCTTAGCAAAACTTGACAGGGTCACATACTGCTTCAATATAGGTCATCATGAAGACCACGAGTCCGGTAACCTGGCAGGATCCGGCGTACGAAAGGACGTAAACACCCTCACAACAGCTGAGACTGACAACCTGAGAAAAGCTCTTCGAGGTGTAAAGGAAGACCATGGCCACAACGGTTTTCAAGCAATTGCTGCTTTCCATGGAAAACCAGCTATGTGCCCCATGGCCGATGGCCACAACCTATCATGCTGCACTCATGGTAATGAATGTTTGAATGTTTTACCGGCCTGAATGTCAGAAATTTGGCGTGTAGTTTCTAGTTCACAGAATTAATTCTGTATGCGTTTGTGTGTCTGCTTGTTCTAGCCTGCACTAATGACGTTTATTGTAGTGCCAGGCCACTGACGTACCATTCCACAGTTTAACATGGATACCCCAGTCAGTATTATGCCTAGAGCCGACCAGTCCTTGTTTTATTCCATTCATAACGAACAGCAGTCATGGAAATAGCAAGTAATAAGCGCCCCGCTCTAATAAGCGCCCACTGCGATATTTGCTAATATATTGGCAAGTGAACAATCCCAATTAGCACCGCTTCCGATTGATCAATGTACCCAAGACTTATTTATTCGTGTATAATACGCACTCGTGTGTTACATGCACCCTTAATTGTGGGCAATTAAATTCTGGAAAAATATATCTGTCGTATATAAACAGTTCAGGCCGTCAGCAAAAAACCATAAAATTTAGCTTTCAACTCTGTTTTTTCCACCAAAATAATAGTCTGATAAGAGCCACCTATATCTAATTTTGAGAGCGCCCTGGGCGCTTATTACGTCAAATACGGTACCATCTTTCAACGTCTTTTGGTTTGATGAGGCCTCGGAGGCGTTTGAACAAACACATGTCATCATCAACCCAATACATTATTTGCAGAAGAGAATCCGTCTTCTGTTTCTGCATTACTAGTTTACACGGATAGAACTACTGAACCTAAACTGATCTATTCACGTGGTTCTACATACATGGTTATCAACTCTGATCCAACTTTGTGGTTTTTAAAAGAATATGTCAGTGATTCTTACATATGTTGTGACTGTAAGACTTACTATGTGTGTTATGTTTACATGGTGACTGTGTGACAGACTATGTGAGTTATATTTACATGGTGACTGAGCCTGACAAGGAGTGTTATATTTACATGGTGACTGTAAGACTATGTGTGTTATATTTATATGTGACTGTATGACTGACAAGAGGTGTTATATTTACATGGTGACTTTGAGACTGACTATGTGTGTGTGACAGACTATGTGAGTTATATTTACATGTGACTGTGAGTCTAACAAGGGGTGTTATATTTACATGTGACTCTGAGTCTAACAAGGGGTGTTATATTTACATAGTTTGTCTGTGAGACTGACTATGTGTTATATTTACATGTCACCGTGAGACTAACAAGGGGTGTTATATTTACATGGTGACTTTGAGACTGACTATGTGAGTTATATTTACATGTGACTGTGAGATTAACAAGGGGTGTTATATTTACATGTGACTGTGAGACTGACTATATGCGTTATATTTACATGTGACTGAGACTGACAAGGGGTTTTATATTTACATGTGACTGTGAGACTGACTATTTGTGTTATATTTACATGTGACTGAGACTGACAAGGGGTTTTATATTTACATGTGACTTTGAGACTGACTATTTGAGTTATATTTACATGTGACTGTGAGATTAACAAGGGGTGTTATATTTACATGTGACTGTGAGACTGACTATGTGTGTTATATTTACATGTGACTGAGACTGACAAGGGGTGTTATATTTACATGTGACTTTGAGACTGACTATTTGAGTTATATTTACATGTGACTGAGGCTGACAAGGGGTGTTATGTTTACATGTGACTGTGAGACTGACTATGTGAGTTATATTTACATGTGACTGTGAGATTAACAAAGGGTGTTATATTTACATGGTGACTGTGAGACTGACTATGTGTGTTATATTTACATGTGACTGTGAGACTGACAAGGGGTGATATATTTACATGGTGACTGTGAGACTGACTATGTGTGTTATATTTACATGTGACTGAGACTGACAAGGGGTTTTATATTTACATGTGACTTTGAGACTGACTATGTGTGTTATATTTACATGTGACTGTGAGACTGACAAGGGGTGATATATTTACATGGTGACTGTGAGACTGACTATGTGTGTTATATTTACATGTGACTGAGACTGACAAGGGGTTTTATATTTACATGTGACTTTGAGACTGACTATGTGTGTTATATTTACATGTGACTGTGAGATTAACAAGGGGTGTTATATTTACATGTGACTGTGAGACTGACTATATGCGTTATATTTACATGTGACTGAGACTGACAAGGGGTTTTATATTTACATGTGACTGTGAGACTGACTATGTGTGTTATATTTACATGTGACTGAGACTGACAAGGGGTTTTATATTTACATGTGACTTTGAGACTGACTATTTGAGTTATATTTACATGTGACTGTGAGATTAACAAGGGGTGTTATATTTACATGTGACTGTGAGACTGACTATGTGTGTTATATTTACATGTGACTGAGACTGACAAGGGGTGTTATATTTACATGTGACTTTGAGACTGACTATTTGAGTTATATTTACATGTGACTGAGGCTGACAAGGGGTGTTATGTTTACATGTGACTGTGAGACTGACTATGTGAGTTATATTTACATGTGACTGTGAGATTAACAAAGGGTGTTATATTTACATGGTGACTGTGAGACTGACTATGTGTGTTATATTTACATGTGACTGTGAGACTGACAAGGGGTGCTATATTTACATGGTGACTGTGAGACTGACTGTGTGTTATATTTACATGTGACTGTATGACTGACTATGTGTGTTATATTTACATGGTTTGTCTCTGAGACTGACAAGGGGTGTTATATTTACATGGTGACTGTGAGACTGACTGTGTGTTATATTTACATGTGACTGTGAGACTGACAATGGGTGGTATATTTACATGGTTTGTCTGTGAGACTGACAATGGGTGGTATATTTACATGGTTTGTCTGTAAGACTGACTGTGTGTTATATTTACATGTGACTGTGAGACTGACTATGTGTTATATTTACATGGTGACTGTGAGACTGACAATGGGTGCTATATTTACATGGTGACTGTGAGACTGACTGTGTGTTATATTTACATTTGACTGTATGACTGAGATTAAAGGATATTTATTTACAATCTTGGACTGCATCATTGACTCTAACAAACAAATGCTTTTATTACAAAATGTTTAAATCAGAAATAATTATGGAAGATTATTTATCAAAAGTTAATGTTAAAAAATTTCGAACGGCTCTTTCACGTTTTAGATGTTCTTCTCACGACCTTTTAATAGAAACAGGGCGCTATGTAAACATTCCTCGTGAAGAAAGAATCTGTAATCTATGTAGTTTAAACTCAGTAGAAGATGAATTTCATTTCTTACTTGTATATCCAGTGTATTTACACCTTAGAGAAAAATACCTGCAAGCTTATTATTACAGGTACCCTAATATTATTAAATTTGTTACATTGCTGTCAAACACAAAAAGAAGTATCTTACAAAATGTGTCCATGTTCATATATTATGCCTCTTTATACCGACAGAACCTTATGAAAGAATAATCTTAGCTGCTTGGTATTAGGAAACTATTGTGTATATACATTAAGTACATATTTATAGATATTTGCTATCTGAATAAACTACAAACAAAAGAGTTAGAAATGGTATTAAACTACTAGGCTGTCATATGATATTGTGGGACGTGATATTACAAATGGTTAAGTATAGTTATATGTATATGAAATGATATGATGTGACATGACATGATGTGATATGATATGAAGTGATGTGGTGTGATATGATACATGAGGGGATATGATGCAATATATTATGTGTATTATAGAAATTGTGTAAATACTGTTTTTTAGTGTACATATTATATGGCTTGCGGTCTTCCAGTATTGAATAAATATTGATTGATTGATATGAAATAAATTGGCATGGAATGACATGGCATTATATGGTATGATATGATAAGATGTGATGGGACAAGCTATGACATTGCTAATGTGTTGTGTGATATGACATGTTGAAATGTGATACAATATAGTTGTGATATATGGTACGATGGTATGTATAGTATGTTATGAGAATGTTATATGAAATAATACTATATAGTATGATCTTATAATAATGATACAACATGATATGATGTTATAGAATATGGTAATATAGAAATTGTGAAATTACAGGGTATGGTATTGTACTGAATGTGTGAAATTATGTAACTGCGTTGAAATGCGAGGTGGAATGACGTGAGGTGATCTGGTGAGATATGTACATAAATTGTATAAAACTGTATATTCTTCAACTTGTACTATAGGCCTGTGGCCTCTTGAGTATGTGAAATAAAGATTAGACTGACAAGGGGTGGTATATATACTGTGAGACTGACATACTATGATGTGTTTTTTTACCAGGTATGGCTACCTTCCCACACTGGCATCGACTCTATACCAAGCAAATGGAGGATGCATTAAAGGCTCATGGATCCCATGTTGGCCTTCCCTACTGGGACTGGACTGCTGCGTTCTCACATCTGCCAACCCTTGTCACTGACAACGACAACAACCCTTTCCACGATGTAAGCATTGGTTTGTATCATCACTCTTAGTAACTCATTTTCCAAATGACTACAAAACATTACCCACGATATGATCCGGGTTAGAGGTCCGTGTTCGGGTCCGTGTTCGAAATGGTATTCAGCAATCCATGTTTTTCTACCTCGTGAAGGTCCGGGTTAGAATTGGGTTTCAGCAACCCATGCTTGTCGTAACAGGCGACTAATGGGATCGGGTGGTCAGGCTCACTCACTCTGTCTTCGTATCACACTTGCGTAAATGGATACTCTTGACGTCAGTCACTGGACTGTCTGGTCCAGACTCGATATTTTTAGCTGGAAGATTACTGAGCGTGGCATCAATCAGCAAACAAACAAAAATAAATGTTCTGAAGACATGAGTCATTTTTTAATCAAATCGCCAGTTTTATCTTCTTTCAAATGTTTATGTGCAGTGTATGTGTCACATATTCCAACACGTGGATTAAAGGCTAGCTTTGTGGGTAATTAATACGTTCCTCCATCACGCCGAAGGCCAGGGTTCTATTTCCCAGATTGTATACTGTGTGGGGCACATTTCTACAGTTCTGTAAAAGTTCTGTAAACACCATTTCGCTCAGTACATTCAACTTCTTAATTCCACAACACAACCCTCTTGTATTCTACAGGGCACCATTGAATATCTCAATGTCACAACTACCCGTTCCCCAAGAGACTCACTATTCAACGACCCCGAGCATGGATCAGAGTCGTTCTTCTACAGACAAGTTCTTTTCGCTCTGGAGCAAACTGATTTCTGCAAGTTTGAGGTCCAGTTTGAGATTACCCATAACGCTATCCACTCATGGACAGGTGGTCACAGTCCTTATGGAATGTCTACCCTCGACTTCACCGCTTACGATCCTCTCTTCTGGCTTCACCACTCCAACACTGACAGAATCTGGGCTATCTGGCAAGCTTTGCAAGAATACAGAGGACTCCCATACAATCATGCAAACTGTGAGATCCAGGCAATGAAAACGCCACTGAGGCCTTTCAGTGACAACATCAACCACAACCCAGTTACCAAGGCTAACTCAAGGCCAGTAGATGTGTTCGAGTACAATCGATTAAGGTACCAGTATGACAACTTGGTGTTCCATGGGCACACTATTCCAGAACTCAATCACATGCTTGAGGAAAGGAAGAAGCACGACAGAATATTTGCCGCCTTCCTTCTTCGTGGAATCAAGAAAAGTGCTGATGTTGTATTCGAAATATGCGAACCAAATCATGAATGTGTGTTTGCTGGAACATTTGCAATTTTGGGAGGTGAGCTAGAGATGCCCTGGTCCTTCGACAGATTATTCCGCTATGACATCACCAAAGTGATGAAACAACAGCATCTGAGACACGATTCAGACTTCTCGTTCAAGGTCAAGGTTGTTGGCACTGACGACAAAGAGCTTCCTCACGGCATTTTAAAAGAACCAACCATTGAATATGAACCAGCATGTGAGTACCACATTAATGTTCCGTACAGTCCCACATTTATAAATTATATAAAATACCAACATGATAAAGTCATTTATTATTCAAACAAATAGGCATTACATTACACATCATATCTGAAATAACGATTTCAGATGCTCAGCTGGTGCCGTCATATAAATACCTAACAAATTAATGCATTTATAATGACGTCACTGTAGATGGTGACGTCTCGTTACTAGCCAATTCCATAGATCCTTATAAATTACAAACGCATTCTCACTAGAAACCTACATCGTCTATTTGTGGATTTGCTTGTAAACAATTACAAACGGTGGGTGAATGAGTGAAACAGAGCAACACGATCACAATTTTAGTCAGGTTTATATGGTTATATGGTTTCACGTTTTAAGTTTGTCTTTCCTCCTACACAGTGGGCGATGGACTGAAACATGAAGATGAAGGTCATGACGACAGGCTGTCACATGTCCTGATAAGGAAAGAAGTGGACTTCCTCTCCCTGAAGGAAGCTAATGCCATTAAGGATGCACTGTACAAGCTCCAGAATGACCATAGTAAAGGCGGCTTTGAAGAAATAGCTGGCTATCATGGTTACCCTAACAAGTGCCCGGAGAAGGGTGACGACAAGTATCCATGCTGCGTCCATGGAATGCCCATATTCCCTCACTGGCATCGCCTGCATACTATCCAAATGGAGAGAGCTCTTAAAAATCATGGTTCTCAGATTGGCATTCCTTACTGGGACTGGACAAAGAGGATGTCAAGCCTACCAGCATTCTTTGGAGATGACAGTAATAACAACCCATTCTACAAATATCACATCAGGGCTGTGAACCAATATACCACCAGGGATGTTGATGTTGAACTGTTCAATCAGACCAAGTTTGGTGAATATGATTACCTGTACTACTTGACGCTGCAGGTCCTGGAAGAAAACTCATACTGTGACTTTGAGGTTCAGTACGAAATCCTTCACAACGCCGTTCATGCCTGGCTTGGGGGTGCTGGAAAGTATTCAATGTCCACCCTTGAGTATTCAGCTTACGACCCTGTCTTCATGATTCATCATTCCAGTTTGGATAGAATCTGGATCCTTTGGCAGCAACTGCAAAAGAGGAGAATGAAACCTTACTACGCAGCAGACTGTGCTGGAGATCTTATGAAGTTCCCCATGCATCCATTTAGCTACAAGTCTGAAAATGAAGACGAGTTCACTCGCGTCAACTCTGTTCCAAACGTAGTATTTGATCATTACAAGTTCAACTATGATTACGATAACATGAGAATCAGAGGCCATGACATCAATGAGCTTGAAGCGATAATTAATGAATTAAGAAACAAAGATCGCATATTTGCTGGTTTTGTTTTGTCGGGCATCAGAACAACAGCAACAGTTAAAGTTTTCATCCATGGGACTGGTGCTACAGATCATGAAGAATTTGCTGGAAAATTTGCAATTTTGGGAGGCGAAAAGGAGATGCCATGGGCATATGAGAGGCTGTTGAAATTGGACATAACCGATGCCGTGCATCGCCTTCATCTGAAGGATGAAGAGATCCGTTTTAGAATGGAAGTTACCGCCTATAACGGTGTCCCTGTTTCTACCAAGCTCGCCGACCCATTGATTGTCCACCGTCCAGCTCATGCGTCTCATGACATCTTAGTCATCCCAGTAGGAAAGGGCCATCAACTGCCCCCTAAAGTGGTTGTGAAGAGTGGCACCAAGATTGAGTTTACACCTATAGATTCCTCGGTGGACAGAGCGATGGTAGAGCTGGGCAGCTTTACTGCTATGGCTAAGTGCATCGTTCCTCCCTTCACATACAATGCTTTTGAGCTGAACAAGGTCTACAGCGTGGATCACGGGGACTACTACATCACTGCAGGTACCCACGAGCTGTGTGAGCAGAACGTCAGGCTCAATGTCCACGTTGAAGAGGAGTAACTCAAAGGTGAGAATATATCAAGGAGCATTCTCAGGCTACTGGCTGTGGGTATTTGGGGCACAAGGGTTTTGAAATATAAGGGACTAATGTTACATTTGATAATTGCATCTGAAAATTATTCTCAAAAGCAAGAAAAGACTCAAACAAACACTGTCTCTTTTATCAGAGCGTAGATAAACTCAACATAGTTTTGCCTTATATAATTACTTCTGGATCCCGTTGTACAAGACCCGTGAAGATTCCTGGGTAGAATAGGTCTTCAGCAACCCATGCTTGCCGTAAAAGGTGACTATGCTGGTCGTTAAAGGCGACTAACGGGATCGGGTGGTCAGGCTCGCTGACTTGGTTGATGCATGCCATCGATCCCAATTGCGTGAATCGATGCTCATGATATCAATCACTGGATTATCTGGTCCAGACTCAATTATTTATACAGACCGCCGTCACATAGCTGGAATATTGCCGAGTTCGGCGTTAAACAACAAACCAAACCAAAAGCCGTTGTACAAAACAACCTCAGCGCTACGACTGTCGTATGTTAAGGTATGGGCGTGACGATCACCTCAGGGCTAAGATCGCTTTGTACAAACGGCACCCTGGCATTTTAAATATTACATAGAGATTATTATACGAGCATGTGTGTCATACTGATTTACGAAACGAGTGTCAGAGTTCTTGTAGATCTCGAGCGAGAGCGAGGGCAATATTGAATTCTTCTTACACCAGCTTCGTAAAATCAGTATGACACACGTTTGAGTCCTATAATTTCTTTATTAATTAATTAATTTCTTAATCCTTTTGAGCTCCCCTTTTAAAAAATGCACTGATCACCACCAGTGTCCTAGAAAACCACAGTTTGTCGAATGGCGTTAACAATCTTCAGCTATGACGTCATTGCAGGTATCATTCCGACCTTACGTCACTATACGATTCGAATAACGTCAACAATGCCGTTCGGATAACTGAAACAATACACTGGTGTGCGAAAAAGGATATTTGCACAAGTGCACATACGATTTTTATTAACTCGGTTATATCTTATGGGTAATAATAACGTTATTTCATACTGCAAATATGAACATTTAAATAGCTGGATCCCGATTTCAAGCATTTTCTACGAGTCACTGTGTTTATGTTTTAATACTCTTATCAAACCATAAGAAAACGAACACCACACTAAACTCATACAAATGATTGTATTGTGGGTGAGTGAATGAGTTCAGTTGAATACCGCGTTGAACAGCATTTCAGCTATATTACAGTGTGAAACCTTAATGTGGAAAGGCAGTTGTGATGGTAATCTCTGACGTGAAACAGTCGAACACCGTTATGATGCTGAACTAGGATTTCAACCCACGATCATATGTTCCTGGCACGTTAAGGGGACACAACTCTGCACAGCGAATCGAGGCGTCTAAGAAGATTGGGTCGCCCTGTGTCTCCTGTTCTGGTATCTGAACGGCGGGGTGGCCTAATGGTGAAACGTCGCTGTGTCACACAGAAGACCTGGGTTCGATTCCCCACTGTTAGCCTAACATCCTTCCACTCATTTTATTTCAGTATTGAGCTGAGATTCTTCATCACTTTCATGTTAACTGTACAGATTTTATATTATCATTATAGGTTTCCATGGTGACCGCGCGACTGAGGCCCTGAAGACACTTCTGAAAGAAGCCACCAGGAGGCGTGCAGGTCGCGAAAGAATTGTTCACGATGTATACGTTTCGGACTAACAATATACGTATTTCAAAATGGCTAGGTCCTTAGTAAGCTGAAAAGCACAACACAATTCATTTGTTTCCCGAGGGGCATAGTTTAGGCAACGTAATATTAATCTTTTGGACTATCTGGACATTCTCAAACTTATCAAAAGCTGATAGAAAACTGATCAAAAATGAAAACTTGAGCGCCCTGCAAAAATCGTCCAGGTAACGCCCATGATGTGAAGAACGTTTTCATGACCTAGAGTGACTTGTACATATGTAAATATATTTTTGGAAAGAGTCAGTCCCACTATTATAAGGTAATGCATGACAAATAAAATCGGTCCGCTCAAATAAAATTTCACATGAATTGTGTGTATTGTGAAGACTGGGAATAAAATATTTATATTTCATTGTTTTTCATTGGTATAATGCTTACAGTTTCTACGGTGGCCCATAAGGGACATGGAGTCTGTTTTTCAATATTTTGATATTTCACTTACTGTTATCGTAACCTTTTGCAAATTAACACGATTTGTCATACAAATATGTGATAAATCATGTATAAAGCAGATATTGAATCGCTGAAAAGTGAAGCGAAAATGTCAAAAACTAAAATGAAAATGTCAAAAACAAAAACGAAAAGGTCAAAACAAAAGCTAAAATGTCAAAAAATAAAATAAAAATACAGAAAAGTATTTCCTCCGCAATGATAATATTTCCATCGCGGTGGAATATTATTTCGGTTGTTTTTATACATGATTTATCACATATCTGTATGGCAAATTGTGTTAATTTGCATAAGGTTACAATAAAAGTAAGTGAAATATCAAAATATTGAAAAACAGATTCCATGTCCCTTATAGGCCACCGTAAGTTTCTCTACATTATGGAATAATACACTAAGGTGTAAGATCACACAAACATACATCTAAGCCTAATTCAGTAGATGGGGACCAATCGAGATCACGGCTGTGTTGTGTTGTGTAACGTCCTATATTCAGGAGCAGTTGGCCCCTTTTATTCAATGAGGCAGTCGGATGAGGCAGTATTTGTGCCTAGTCAACATTCTTTCCTTGTGTCTAGGGGGCGAGGGTGGCCCAGTCGTCTAAGGCGCGCAATTCGCTATGCAGAGTTGCGTCCCTTGGGCACGCCAGAAACCTATGATTGTGGGTTCGAATCCCGGTTTGCACCGACTATGTTTCTAGGTTTGTCTGCACAGACGTAGTAGACGTCTGGGACCTGCATCACTTCGGGCTTTGCTCCCATATTAAGCTGACACGCCATAACATACTGGAATACTGTTCTAAGCGGCGTTAAATCCAACTCACTCACCCACTCTTTGTCGAATTGTTCGCCGTCATGTACCGATTCCCTTGCATATGTGGAGTGACGTCATGGGATCAGTTCCAAATGATTTGTACAAGATGACGACTTGCAATCATATATCCAGAATATATGACGAGCAATGGTCAACTTGCAACTTAGTATCAATACTTTCCATGTTCAAGCGTGGATGTTCCGGGATCCCCTGCTGTCTGTACTGGTCGTAAGGGACGACCCAATGGATCGGTTGGTCATTGCAGGTCGATGACGTATCATCGCTGCTCATGAAATCAATCCGTGGTTTGCCTCATTTTACAGGCCGCTGGAATATTGCTAAGAGCGTTATGAAACAACGTGCGTACGCACACACACGCACGTTCACAAGCGCACGCACATTGAAAGGACCAGAGGATGATACATATAAACAGGAACAATATGTGATACGTCTTGTGTAGCCTAGTGGTTAAAGCGTTCGATTCCCGACATGGGTACAATGTATGAAGCCCATTTCTGGTGCCCCCCGCCGTGATATTGCTGGAATATTGGTAAAACCATACTCAATCTCGTGAACGGTGATAATGCCACAGAGTAGACAGGCCGAACTGCTCGTGTCAAAACACCGACATGGAACATATGAATAACCCGGATCAGCTATTTCATTTCTTGCTATATTAATGCCACACAGATCGGCTGTTGTGATTAGTGAAGGGAAAAAAGGTTGTTTTATACCGCATGTCATACTCTGGCTATGGTGCAAGGTAACTAAGTGGTTTATAGCTTGAACACCCATGCGGTCGGCGCGCTATAACACATCATTATCAAATCTATCCTCGTCGTACTCTGATAATATGCTATTCATAGGATACGTGACACCCCCATTGCCAATTGCGTAGTCCAATAGAATGAGCAACGACTTCCGTTGATGAACAGAAATATTTAATGTAGCTTTAATTTGTTTACCTGATAAAGTAATGCAAACCTAATTTAAAAAATAGCATCCCTATATCTATTGGAAAACGAACATATTAATATGAAAATACCTTACTAACATACAGATACAGATCACATGAGTTGGCTCCATACACTGAACACACAAAATGACTCCCCAAACACATTCCAGACACCGACTTTTGTTCAGCAGCAATGTCATCGTTTACTATGTGTTCACATTAAATACTTGTGAAAACGGAGAATGTCTTAATGTTGTTGTGACTCTAAGATTGTTTTTCATCCTCCATGGATAAATCACTACCTAAACCTGTAAGCTTTCCTTGGCCACACCTTTACATCTTTTCCCTTGGTCATGCCAGAAAGCTATGAGAGTGGGTTCGAATCCCGGTTCACCCCGATTATGTTATTAGGTTTGACAGCAACATACCCGTGCTCGTGTTTCACCAAAGTGGTAAACGTCTGAGACATGCGTCTGAGACAGGCTTTTCTCCCACATTAAAGCTGACAGGTCGTGATATAACTGGAATATTGTTCAACGGCTTTAAAACCAACTCAATCATTCACTCTCATACATGGCTTTGCAGTATGGTCGCTTTACAAAGAACGAATCGGTCTGGTTTCAGCGTGAAGGGTACCAAGGGAGTGCTCAGATCACATCGCACTAACAACAACACGCGCCACAGTCTTGCAGTCACCTGGGCCCACTTGCACAAAGCTATCTTAGCGCTAAGATGATTGTAACTCCCATACTCTAACATATATAGGCTTACGACAGTCTTAGCGCTAAAATCGCTTTGTGCAAGTGGCCAATGCTCTGTCTATTACTGCCATATAATTCAATGGTAATTTCGCAATCTGTTCATGCACCGAGCAGAATTCGTGGAATTATTTCTGTCGTTGACTGCAAATTGTCACAACTACACCGCATTTCGACCGCATGTATTCGCGGGTCAAAATCTAATGTTAGTGTATACCTGTGATGTACTAACGATCTTGTACTCAACGAACCGTCAGAAAGATTATATAATAAGTTGAATGTGAATAGTTGGGTAATAAATAATCTAAAGTAGGGGATATTTGAAAATAACAGATGATTGCAGAAATGCTATAGAGGTGTCGTCTGTTGGTAATTGATAGATAAGAAAAAAGGAAGGACTCAGTGTAACATGACAATCGAGAGAACAATCTGTTCAGCTGAAGAATGTAATAATTCAACTGTGTAGAGTACTTTAAATGAGGCTGATCAAATGCGAAGCTGTCGTAGAATGTGGCGTATTCAATGACGTGCACTTATGGAACGGGGGAAATGTTATATATCCAAGGGTTGAAATATTTACATGTTATTGTAATGTATTCTCAAGTTCTTTAATACAGTAAATAGCGATGTTTCGGTATAGATCCTCATACCGTTCTCAAGCAAGACACCTTTGCTTGACAACGGTATAAGGATCTATACCGAAACGTCGCTTTTCACAGATTTAAAGAAGTTGTTATCCATACAATTGTGTCTACCTTGTCATCCGTCAACTTCTAAGTATGCCTATCGAACAATTTATTCTCAAGTGTTTCATATGTGATTAAATTTCTGTTTATTGCTTTCTTTATTCCTATTTTGATTTATTCAAAAACTTCGTTTGAAACGGATTTCATCACTGAATGATAAATGTAATACAAAATGGTTAAAATAGCCCATCTGCTTTTGAGAAGACCCCTTTCCTTCTCAAGATGTACCAAAACATTGGCGGTTTAAGGAAATATAGGTCATAATTTAGAATTTACAATTATAATGTCTTATTTCATTTATAAAATGAAAAAAAATATTTTAAAACCCCTCTTTATACGGCCTCTAAATAGCCTTGGCAATATTTCTAACATCGATGACACCTTATACTAAAAAAAACATTTCGTGTTTCATTTGCACTTCTCGCCACCCCGCTATAAAGATTCCTGATATAGATGGAGGGGTTTGACCTGGATCAGAGGCCTGTGCTTTCCGATTCCTGCTAAAGGAGAGGTTTCGCGTGGATCACTGACCTGAAGGAGTCCAGCAGGTCCTATTGGGTGTCAGTCTTCATGTGACGTCTGATTGTGCTGTGCAAGACTGGTGGGTCACGTGTCACTTCCGTCTGTCAAGATATCAATATGACCAACCCTGCTGGGTCTAACCCTGGATGCATGTGTGTGTGTGACGGGCGGCACTGGTGGAGCAGGATACGCTCATATGATCGCGAGCGTATCAGAACGTCCATACTTATTTTTGTGTTTCTCATCTCCCAGCCATTGCAAATTTCCTTCCCGTCAAAAGAATAAAAAATATATTCCTGAATTATCCGCCGTCCATCTGTATTTGTATGCCACTTCTTCAAAAAGTATGAAGCTTTACAATTAAAACCTTTTCTTGAAAACCACGGTCGTAGCTATATATGACAGTATGCGTCATCAAAGTGAGCTGTTGAAACTTGGAATGGCAGCAACTATGTTCTACTTATATAAAGGTTATAGGATTCGCTTCCACAAAACTTCACATTTTAAGCGGGGACAAAGCCAATTCCATTCGTCACCACTTGTCCCTTTCCGTAACCTGCAAGAAGACTCGCCCCCCTATCGATGAATGTTTTGTGCGAAAATACGACAAACCAATCAGAATGCGCGTATGATCTCAAGTTCTTTGTCAAAGAATCCCTCAGAAATATTTTTTGATTTTACATATGTCTTACATCTAAAACAATACCAAAGACACAGTAAAATATGTTCAATCATACTGTATAATTCCGCATGTCCCGATGTGCTTTAAATTGCATCTGAAATATATGTAATATATGGGGAAATGTAAGTGAACCATTACGCAACGAGTTGACAGTTGTTTTAGGTATGCCCATTTGTGCTAAGACGGAACCCGGTCGCAAAAATGGCCATGAGCGGGGCACGAGTCGCTATTCGGCTTGTCCCGGAATAACACGAGTTGGTGTAGTATCATTCACTGTGATTTCATCTATTTGTACGTACTTTTGTCATATCATACTCCATACAAAAATAAGGGAAACCGTTAGGGTAGCCACGGATCTAAATACATATGAGGTCCCTGTGGGTATCCAAAACTTGCCGGGCAGTTACCACTATTAAAACATACACCAGT